CAAATGCGATGTCTAAAATGCTTTTGCTAATGGTTCGTCTGATTTGATTTGCATGCCATTTTTATGTTTGAGATGTATTGCACATTGTATAAAAGTCTCCTAGTTACTTGTTCGCTAATTCCACATATTCATGGTTTTACTGAGTTGTTAACTTAACAAGTAATTGACAATCCAACTAAAATAAACACTGTCCTTCATTGTTTCGTTACGTTTAGCAGAAGTATGGTATTTAAAGCTATTCGAACTGGACGTTAGAAATAACTGGGTTCAGAATAGATCAATATAATGAATGATAGGAACAAAGAATAGCATACCATTACTGTCTGCCCGTAGAAGAGCTTGCTTTAAAGTATCGACAAATTGCTAAGCTTAGTCGTTAGGCTACGGATAATAAGGAAGCATTAGTAGATGTCTAATTCATTTTCGATGAGAAGCTGTTGAAAATTATTATTAGACAAACATCTGACCCAATGACTATTGACAAGTTTTTTATCGCTCCCAAGCAGCTTATTAAACTGAAAAACCACCTTATATCACTTCAGCCATGGTTCCTGACATCAAGTGTACTTCCAGTTACTTTTTACATGTATATATTTTGCTTCGTGCCGATTCACCAAAGTTAACATTAACAGTTTTCAGGGCAGCAGTTGTAGGTGGTTTATAGAAAGTTACAGAGTTAGTAACGTTTCAGTATGCTGATCAAATAAGATAATAACTTCATTTTATTGGTCTACGTGTGAGAAATACGAAATTCTTTAGAACACTCTAGATAATGAGTCTTCGATATAACCAATTGATCAACCAAAATAAAACTTTAGTAACTATTTAAATTACTGATAATTGATTTTATTGATCAGTACTTTCGAACTCCGTTAATTTTTGATAGAGCATAATTTTGTTTAATCTGAGATTAGTAACTTGAATAAGCATGAATTCACTGATAAAATACTAAACAGTGTAAGATTGAATGATCTTTTCTTTCTTAGAACTTTCATTCATGGTAGAGTTTTAATTAAGTCTAATCAAAATATGATCTATATATAACGTAAGATCTAACTTTTCGTCTGTATAACCCACACATAAAGAAACAGTTCTTAATGGTAAGTTTTAGTTAATAATCATTACACCCAACATTTGATCAATTTATTTGAAAGTGTAAATATTTTGGAAATGGTTTATGATTAGTTCAGTTAACCATCTGCTTTTCATTCAATAAATTATTTGCTAAATAAGGAAGCTAAAATGAACATAACAGTTAAACAGAATGGCTTTTTTGATTCAAGTATCTGTTATTTAAGAATAAGTTGCCAAGTAAATACTTTTTTCGTAACTGACCAGCAACCAGAGTAACCAAAATGTTACCATTATAAGCAGAGATGAATGATGATCAGCAGTTAAATCAGGAGCACAGATTTCGTTCTATTTGAGACTCATCAGCAGGATGTTCCAGCATATGAGTTGGTTTTCACTTTGGAACTCGAACCAAACATCTTTTGCTTCAAACTTTATCGTATTATTCGTTTAGCTGCTGAGTTCAGTAAGCTACTGGCTTAAGCAATAGGATGAAGCTTGACTTAATTGTTTTAGATATTTGAATTTTTCTATTAAGCTTTAGGACTGAAATTGATCTCGCATTTGAGGTAAACGATACTAGTTTTGAGTACCAAAGTGAACATCAACTCGGATGCAGCTACATCCAGATGAAGAGTCATAAATGAGAATAAGTTTCCGTTTTCGATTCTATTGCTACCCACCATCCATCTCTACTTGCAATACTTGTGACTTAAGATAATATCAATGCGATCCGCATAAGAAACACATATGCCTGAAAAGAGCGACTGATCAATTAGAGTCAAACAATCAATACTAATGAACTACGATATTATCATTCTGAAAATAACGGTTTGTTTTGAGGCTATGCATAAAAATATAATTTCATCAGCCAAAGTACGAACTATATTATCGTCTACAATATATCAAGTCAACTTGAAGGCCTATTTTTCTATAGCTTTCTTCATATGACTTATCATTTTTTCTATTAAGATAATGGAATACAATAATATTGTATGCATTCATGATCACTGGAAATTAATGAACCAGTTCTAGGATTTTCGATTTGTTATAAGAATAAGTATAGAGTTTCAGGTTAATTCTGTTATATTAGAAGGGGATTTTTGGAGATTTTCTAGAAATTTCCCTGGTTGAAATCATGGGTCAACTGAAGCTAGACCACCATGGAAAACCTGAAAGCAATGGGCGGTTTTCCATAGTGGTCTAGCTTCAATTGACTCATGATTTCAACCAGTGAAATTCTATTATATTCTTATTCAAGAATGGAATTATGAGTTATTTACTTTACTAGAATAGGTTAAAGTAAAATCACAAAACGGATGATAAATGTTTACTAAAATGAATTAAAATGAAATAAACAATAATTATTTATTGCCTGACAGTGAGAAGAATTTAAAAAGTTGTGGATGTGTAACACTAAGAAGTCTCATACTAGGACTAAACGGACGTCTAGTGCCTTCAGGTTTTCCAAGATGTTCTATCTTTAATTGGCTCATGAATTAAATTTAAAAATGATTCAAAATTAGTCATATTTGGCAAGATATTTTACAACTAGTAAATATATACGATCTTATGTTTTATTCAACACTAAAATTAATGTCAAATTGATATCCGCGCTCTTTATTTAATTTTTATTCAATGAATAAGTGGAATAATTGTTTTTACTTTCAAAAACCGTGGTTTAGTAATTTCTGTTGTAGTAGGTATCTTTCAATAGACAATCACTGAGAATTAGAAAGATCCAGATAACTGTTTCGTCTGAGCATGAACGGAACTTATATAGACAAAAAAGAGCTATTCCGTGCTTCCCAGTTTTTAGTGATTATCTAAGTAAGGTCTGTTGGTGATGTTAATTATAAAAATTCAACAATCTCCACTAACCTGTTATATTGCGATTGGTGAAGATTTTGGTGTGTTTATGGTATAATAATGTAGTGAATGCGACTTAGGGGAGATAACCAAGTTATTCCTAATGCAAAACTACAGTGTCTTTGTAAAATATCAAAACCATACATTAAATACATCATTTGTACATCTTCCTTCAGTTGTCTCTTATAAAAATCATCGTTCTTTCATTCCTGTTGTTATTACAAACTCTCTCTGTTTACAATCATGTTGTCTTCAGTTAAATCTTAATCTTATACTGCTATACATTCCACTTCTGATTGATGCTACATTCTACTTATATCTGTCAACATAAGTTGCATACACCACAGTAGTACTGAAGTACAAAAAAACAGAAAAATTGATAAGTTTAATATACAAACGCCATGAAAACATTTTTTATACTACATAATCTGATTTCGTATAATCACGAGCAGTTACTCATTGAGTTATCTTTATCCTAAATGTGTCCTTAAAATATATAATCACTTATTGCTTTTAAGAATTATGACGTTCGTCAATTCATCACCCCTCATTTATAAATTTATACTTGAGTCTCAATCATTATGAATACAGTCGTTTCCTGTGCCTCACTCATTGAAATTATTGTTTTGTTTCGAATTTCATTTTCAATATGATTAACAAAAATATACCTACTGTTCTTAATTGTTTTATTTGTCCCAAACAAAAACACTGCTGTCAAACCGATAAATACTAAAATAAAAAATCAATTCATTTTAATCTTCCAGTTGTGTTGAACTTAGTGGCTAAGTGGATCACGCGATAGTGTTTGAAGTGAACGATACTGGGTTCGGATCCCGGAGTGAACATCAACTCTGGGATGCAGGTACATCCAGCTGACGAGTCCCATATAGGATGAAACGCACATCCTGGATTTTACTGTTAGCTACTATCCATATATAAATTTATTTTCTGTTATATGATAATGTGAAAAAAGTATTTCTAAAGTAGTTTATGGTACAAAACTGAAATCAGCTAATACGTTCAGTATCATTATAGTGAACGGGAACACAAGTAGAGACAATCGGATGTATTTCAACAAAAAATTACAGAATGTTTTAATAAAATCAGAGAACCATACAGTAAATACTTCATGTGCAAAATGTCAATCAATTGTCACAGACTTCACTGTTCCTTCATTTTATATTATATTATAACTGTATGATAGCTAATTTATTATCATTTTCAACTGGACCTTGACTGACTCTTCATATAAATTATCGTTTGATCTGAAAGTCAATTCTTAGAAATACACTTAGTGAATGAATAGTTAGTTTTTAGATGTTTCAATCTAAATAAATTTCTGTCATTCATAAGAAGCATAATCAGAAACAGCATATTTTACAAGTGGATTACACCAATAATTTGAGTAATTTAAAATAAATTTCATTCGCAACCATTGCTAGAAACAGTTAATTTATTTCAATAGTTGGAATCATGAGTCAATTAAAGCTAGACCACCGTGGAAGACCTAGAAGCACTCGATAGCCGTTTCATCGTATTGTGGGACTCCTCAGCAGTGTACATCCACGACCCCGCCCCCCGCGAGATTCAAACCCAGGGCTTATCAGTCTCGCTCGCGAGCCCTTAGTCACTAGACCACTGAGCTGTCATTCAAAGGTGTTAATTCCTAACTTCAACTAATCCACGAAATTGAGCGACACATCCACCATTTTCTTCAGTGAGTTACTATCTCACATCAGACCTGGTAGAACTCCACTGTTTCTTACTAGAACTCAACGAAATACTTCTTGAAACCAGTCACTAGTGAGCATATGTTGATTTGTATCAGAACAGGTTTTGTGGAGATTTTACTAATTCTAATAGTTGGGATCATGAGTTGATTGAATCTAGACTACCGTAAAAAACCTGGAAGCACTGGTCGGCCGTTTCATCCTAATGTAATACTACTCATCAGTGTTCATCCAAAATAACAAAAATACATGATCCATTGCTCAGTATTTTATATTATTATATTAATTAATCCATTTTATTACCTAATTGTTATTTTTTTATTGTTTTAGTACAAACAAAATAGTTTTATGCCAATTATCCAGTAAACCAGTTGTAAAAAGAACAAACATTCGATAACTATAATTACAACAATAACAACAAGTTACTCTTAAATACAAGAAAATTACATACAAATCAAGAAGGAAAAAATAAAGTGGGACAATCAAATTTTAAAAACAACAACAACGAACAAACAAACAATCAAACATTGAACTGAAATCGAAGAGAAAAAAAATTAGGCTAACTAATTGATTGACAGATTATACTGAAGGACAGATGTTTCGCAGCTGTGTAATTGTAATTTTAATAATATTCATCTTGGTTACTAATTCTGTTGTACATAGTAAGTTATCTTTCTAATGATTAATTAATTATTGCATTCAATGATGATGAAATTAATGTATTTCTATTTCATTCAATTTATATTAATTGTAATAAATGAGTGCTAATTGTATATCAACAGAATTTAATTAATTGATGACCCTTTAAACAACACCCCAGCTTGTTATTAGTAAGTGATGGTTTTACTTTTTTTTTTAAAAAGTTTTAATTTCAGTACTTCAATAATATTGTCTTGTCAAACGGACTGGGTTCGAATCTCGCGGGGTGCGGAATCGTGGATCGCACTACTGAGGAAACCCATACTAGGACGAAATGGCCATCCAGTGCTTCCAGGTTTTCCATGGTGGTCTAGCTTCAATTGACTCATAATTTCAATTAAAAATAATTAAAAAGAGCTATTTTTCCTAAGAAACTCAAAATTAATTTTGATCAAGATCATGAACGCATTGATGTTAGATCATCGTTGGAAACCTGGAAGCACTGAATGGCCGTTTCGTCCTATTTTGGGACTCCTCAGCAATGCGGTGGTTTAACATCAATTGGTTCATGATCTCAATAAAAAAACAACAACATAATGATTTCCACAATTCCTATAGTGATAATAAACTCAATTTGATTGAAACCAAGATGAATGATGGCTATCCGTCGCATTTCGGACTCGTCGACTGGATGTACAATTCCCTAATAAGATGAAACATGAATCCTGAATCCCACTGATAGATACTATCCATCTTTGTATATAATGCTTAAGATTTGAGGCAATATCTAGGCGATCCACACAAGATGTATATATGCTCATAAGAGACAGATCCATTGTAGTCCTAAATATCAATGGAAAGATTCAAATAAACAATACAATTATTGAAACAATTCGATAATTTGATAGACGACTTTGTTTCTTTATATACATCTTAATAAAAGCAAATAAAAGTTGTTAGCTTTTTAAAGAGATTTTGCAAAAGAGTAGTTACAACACTGTTTTAAAAAAATTAAATTCATGATATAGTTGATTTTTCAAAACATATTTTATCTTGAAGCAGAAAATAATTGAGCCAAGAGATAATCACTTTAAACCTTTACAGGCTTGTAATATAGCTCCGTCAATATCGTAACCTTGCGAGTATAAATCGATGAACCTTATAAAGCTCACTATAAAACTTTCTAAGACTCAATAAGTACTGAATCGTATAATATATTGTTAAAAATCCTATTTAACGTACCATACAGATACCTCTTTCTAATCGGATATAACTATTTAAAGTAATTTTTATCATTAGCTGTCGTTAGTCACAGAAGTACAGGAAATCTTAGAGAAGTAAGCAGATGTTTTGTCTCATTTTCAAGATATTTGGTAAAGTGCAACTATAACCCTATCAAACATGTCACGATACTTTTAAACTACTGAATTAAGATTCCATGGTCCATGTATATATATATATACGTTACATGCAATCATAAGAATAAATTTCAAATTCATTGATATGTGTATAATTGTTTTTATTCAAACGATACACTACAGTATTCTTTATCTAATTACAATTATTCTATTATCTTTCTTAAAAACTAATACAATTCAAAAACTGACATACGTTAAGTTCAAATTATAAAAATGAAAAGTAAATGCAATATTTTTATCAAAAACACTTTTTAAGAAAAAATGGATAGTTGCTAGCAGTAAAATCCAAGCCGCGCTTTTCATTCTATTTGGGATACGTCAGAGTTGATGAGTCCTGGAATGAAAATCAACTCTGGGATGCAGGTACATCCAGCTGACGAGTCTCAAATAAGAGAAAATGCGCGTCCTGAATTTCACTGCTAACCACTATCCATCTTTGCTTATAAATCTTGTGACTTAAGGAAATATTAAGGTAATCCACAATTGATCAGTCTCTTATTGGCATATATTCATCTTGTACAGATTGCCTTGATATAGCCTTAAATCACAAACTTGTTAGACAAAGATAGATATGATAGATTCCACTGCTAGTCACTATCCATTTTTGCTTAGAAATATCATTTATCTTAGTATTTAAGCAACGAATCAAGTTTTATTGATCAGTTAATTTTAAACTAAGCTCTCATAATAAGTCTTCTTTATTATAAGCATGAATAAATGTACAAACCACTTAGTTACCTGGATTGAGAAAGTAGTATTAGTATCTTCTTTCTTTTTTTAAAAAAAAACTTACATTTTATGTTTCTTTTTTTTCTTTCTTTTCTTCTTGTTTTGGCTTCAACTATTCATTGTAGACATTAACTTTCATAAGACTTCATTAATCAAAAATCCATGTAATTTTTGAATACATTTTATATATTTTAAAGGTATTCATATAAAATAAAGAATACAGTTTCAAAGATTTTGCAATTTCTTTAATTGTAGAATTTCTCGGTAACTTTAAAACAGCAACAAAACAAACGAGTAATCTTATCGACCGGATTTGTTTCGTTGACTAATAGCCAATACCTTTTATAGAAACTACTGAACAAACGATATATATAAAGGCTAAAGTATATGTATAAACGTTGAATAACTGTAATTTAGTGATCTTTTTTTATAGAAGGGAAGTGTTTGTTTTACTCCATGGTTTACATTTGTCATTTTTCATAGCTTAAGATAAATATACAAAGTATGACTGAATCAAATAAAGAGTTCATAACTATATTCAATAAAATGTGGAACAAATCTATTTTTAAATGTCATAATGATTATCATTAATATATTCATGTATACGTGCATGTACGAAATATTCAATGATGAAAAGATCTCAGTGTATCAATAAATATCGATGGGTTTTTTTTAATAAATACGTAAATTTAATAGTTGAATTCATGAGTCACTTAAAGCTAGATCATCATGGAAAACATAGAAGCACTGAATGGCCTTTTTATACTAGTATGGAACTCCAGTAATGCGCATCCACGATCCCGCTCATAGGACGAATAGGTCCTGGGTTTGAATCACGCGGGGTGCGGGATCGTGGATACACATAGCACATTGAGGAGTCACATACTAAGATTAAACGGCCGTCCAGTGCTTCCAGGTTTTCCAAGGTGGTGTATCTTTATTTGATTCATGAATTCAGCTATTAAATGACTAAAATTTCCATAAACCCCATTCTGATAGATACGTAAATGTTGGGGAATCCTTTAATCTGTAGTGTCAGTTATTATGTTAAGCCCATATATTTTATTCTAGCTTCCGGACATCCCATTCTATTCATTCTAATTGAGTCATATTATGGCCTTGTTAATTATTCGCTTATCAATCTTGACTGTTTTTATATGAGCGTATATGTGTGTACACTTCATATCCCATATCTCATCACATGTCTGTAGTTTATTTTGTCTGCCTATAAATATTGAGTAACGTCTGACTAAAAACAAGTTGGCTTACCAGCCATTTCTATTGCGCGTTGCTTTACTTTTCTCTGTTTCATTCGCTTCATATATATAGTGTATGTATTCACAAGTCCATTCTCGTTATTCGGCCTAAATAATTCCGTTATTGACTAACGCGATTAAAGTCGATGATTATATACGAGGATAGGTGACATATATATTTCAACGAAAATCATCATTACGATCTACATGGAGTCAGATCCACGGGCCACTAAAAATCATAATATTTATTATTTTTCTAACTTGGGATAAATAGCATGCAAATACACTTCTTTTTAAATAGTTAAGCTTTCCTTTTATAACTTTTTCGTGTTATATTTAAAGCCGTTTGAATGAAAAACTCACGAAAAACACTGGTTTATCACCAGATTTGGTTTGATTTAATTATTAACTATTATTATTATTATTCTTATTTTAGCACAAAATGTAAACAAGTATACGCTGTGGTAACTTTAATTAGTTTGTGCGAAAGAAAAAAAATTAAACACATATGTCTCACACGCAATTCGTTCTATAAATGGGTTATAGAAATTCTCTTTATGAACATATGCTTAACTGAAAAAAGATTTATAGATCTAATAGATTTCTTTCATTATTTATGAATAGATCGAAACAAAAAGAGTTTGACTGTTCCCTCCTTCCAGTTTCGGTATCTACAATCGAAGTGAAACTAGGATTCTCTGTACTATTTAGGACCGTAGAACAAAAGAACATACCTTACCAATGACAAATTAAGTCTGAAAGACAATTATATTTTAACGAAAGTAATAACAGCTGAAAATGATTGTGCTGAAGAAAGTATGTATTATCAGAATTTTAATGATCCCGTACTTGGTAGTTGCCTTCTTGCCGAAAAATTCTATTGAATATTAATTTTTCTGCGCACGCTTAATATAATTAAAAGGTTCTCAAACCCTAGGTTGCCGTTAAGAAATAAATAGAAAGAAGTCTATTGATTTTTAATATAAAGTTTTGAGGGACCAGTAAAGTATTCACAGTTAACTGCTATTCGTGAATAGAAATTACTAATCTATCTGATAGTTCAAGAAGAACATGATACTCCTTAAACATTCTTATCATGTTTGAATATATATATATATATATATATATATATATATATATATATATCACTAAAGTACGCAGAAAAACAGTTTGTGCGATCGGTTTCGTCAGTTAGTGATCATATTTTAAGCTCTGTTTGTTGTATATATCCCATATAAAAGTTTCTAATCTATCACAATCAATAGTCGTTTATGGTTTTATTTTTTCTAGATTTATTATTTTTCTTCGTTGTTGCAGTAGTCAACTGAATAAAAACCCTCCTGCTATTAGCGTAACATTACGTAACCAGATCGCTTGATAACGTGTGTGTTACGTGAATAGAGGTAGTAGATGGGAAACTGTGGACACATAACTCATACTATTTGGCACGCGTCACCAAGGCACATACGTGACTATGAGGGAACTGAAAGTTTCTGATGGACTCAAACTTGCACCGCCTAATATCTTCAACCAAGTAACATCGCGAAACACTGCACCCGATCTCAAGCCATTTAGATCGATACTGTAGCACTAGACAAATATGATGGTCACTACTCAGTAACCAATATATATATATATATATATATATATATATATATATATATATATATATATATATATATATATATATAAATTATTTCATGATCGGGTAAATAATGTTTTGAGTTAAAGCGTTCACTTACAACTGTTTCGCTAAGTATTTCAATGTGCTAGATGAATAGTGATTTTTGTGAAACTTCATTATATCACTGTGAATCAGATCACAAATGTCTGTTATCGGTATTACTACTTAGAGTAGATATTTATTCAGTCGTAATTAAGTATTCGTGAAACATGGTATCATTCCTGACAAGTCATATAACAAGAAGAACATTCCTATTTAATAACATGTAATTAGTCTACAGATTGTTGTGTATAGTAAATAAACTAACAAAAGTGTACAATTATATCGGATTACTGAATATTGTAAAATTATGCAGTTTTATTTCATATAATATTATGGTGTATGCTACTGATGTTGACAGATATAAGTAATATGTATCATCAATCGAAAGTGAAATGCCTGGTGGTAGAAGGTTAAGATCGAAGAAAAGAGAACGATTACTGTGGAAACGAAGAAACTACGAAGTCTGAGACGATCGACTGATATTTTCCAAATGAATTATTTACTGTATGATTTTCAGATTTTACTAAGATGTTCTGTAATTTTTTGTTGACATATATCCGATTGTTTCCATTTGTGCTCTCGTTCACTACAATGCAATAACCAATTCAATTTATTTCTTTATTTCTCAACTTATAAGCCCGGTATATTGCTTTTTTGTTTGTTTGTTCACAGGTACGCTTCCCGGTAAACAAAATCATACAATTGTTTTATTAGATTTGAAATCAAACAACAATAATCTATCTATTCATCAATTTCTTTCAACTATCATTCAATCAATAATCAATAAACAAGATTCATCGGAACAATATCATTATATTAAAACCGGTTCTATGATTACCATAGACTGTATTGTATTTAATATAAAGCATAAGTTCCAAAATGAACTACTCCATCTTATTCAAAAGCCTATACAACAACAAACTGTAAATATTCATTTAAATCAATTATATTACCCTAGTTGTGCATCAACCAATGACAAAACTAATTTACATGATATTAATTGTAATTATTTATCATTTTATCAAGAAAGTATAAACAATCATAATAATAGTAATGATATAAATGAATATAATGAATTCCCATATAGTCAAATAGATATTTTTCGATATACAATTCATCAAGTTAATAATAGTTTCAATGGACGTTGGATGTGTTATTCGGATAATATATCGAGTAAAATTCATAATCTTATTATTTCGGGTATGTCTTATATTTGTTTTGAATAATTAAAATATTATTTTAATTTAATAGTTAAATTCATGAGTTAAATAAAGTTAGATCACCGTGGAAAACCTGGAAGTACTGAATGGCTAGTATAGGACTCCTCAGCAATGCGTATCCACGATCCTAAACACGGGATTCAAACTCAGGATCTATCGATTTCGCGCGCCGACACTTAACCTCTAGATCATTGATCTGGTAGGCATTTAACCGTGTTAGTGTCTAACTTCAACCAATTGCCCAACTTGAGTCACCGTCCACCATTTTCTTCAGTCAGTTACCATTTCATATCAGAACTGGTTGAACTCCAGGAAATACATCTTGAAGCCATTCACTAATGAGCATACGATGATGATGTTGGTGATTATGAGAAGGGATTTTGTGGAGATTTTAGTAATTTCAATAGTTGAGATCATGAATCAATTAAAGCTAGACCATCATGGAAAACCTGGAAGCACTGAACGGTCGTTTCGTTCTATATTGAGAAATGCGCATCCACAATACCGCATCGCGAGGTTCGAACCCAGGACCCATCGGTCTCGCGCGCCAACGTTTAACCTCTAGACCACTGAGCCGGTTTCGAATGGTGTAAATGTCCATCTCCAACCAATCCAATTATTTTAATTTTTCATTGTTTAAATCTACCTGTTAATTACACTCCATCGATTGTATCTATTAATGAAACACACACATTTCTCACTTCTAATTGTTCAACAAGTTGATGGTAACTAATTGATGAAACAGAAAATGATCTATTAGTCAATCTAATTACTATTGACAAAACTCATACTGATATAAATGTACAACTAACTAAAGAATTTTAAGTGAATAAAACCATTCTATTATAATCCAATTATTAACTACTTACTGAGATATAGTTTAACATATAAGTAAATCACTTTCTCAATTGATATTTCTAATTGTGATTTAACCATCCCTAGTAGCTCTAAGATTTTATTATTTTACTATTATACAATTTAAAAACTGATCATCATTCTGTATTTTATGTTTTAAAATGTATATTATAGTGTCCATTATTTGACGCTAGACAATTTGAATACTTTATAAAGAATCAAATAGCAAGTTTTTTTTGCTATTTGAAACTCATCAACAAAGGTTTATTTGCTATCATAGTCAATCGGTTGCAAATAATTGATAGAAAAAACAACAACAGTGAAATATTAAAGATTTAAGGTTGTTCATATTGTCCAGCAACTTGCTAATGTTTATGCACCAAATATTTTATGCATCACATTATTATTGTTATTCTTCATGACTGAAAGTTATATTTATAGAATACGGTGAGTAAATCCGTTAAGGTTACAATCTTTAAAAGGATGATGAGAACTTAAATTTCAAAACAAAATGTTCGCATGAATGATATAATCTTCACTAAGTTGAACAATTAAATTGTGAACTATGGGTGATCATACTGAAATAAATTAACTAACATTATCATAAATGAAAGTGAATTTTTGAAAGTTATTTTAACTCAAAAATAACCTATTTTTGTTAAAATTAAACACTAAATATATCTTGGATTCGAATCTCGCGAGGTGGGATCGTGGATGCACACCACTGAGGAGTCCCATACTGGGACGAAATAGCCATCCAGTGCTTCCAGGTTTTCCATGATGATCTAGCTTCAGTTGCGCATCCACGACCCCACCTTGCGAGATTCGAACCCAGGACCTATCAGTCTCGGGCCAGGCACTTAACCAACTAGACCACTGAGCTGGCTGGCATCCAACGGTATTAATGTCTAACTTCAACTAATCCACGAAATTGAGTGACACATCCACCATTGTCATCAGTGAGTTGCTATAACACAACTGACCCAGCCGAACCACACTGGTCACTGCTTCTCACTAGAACTTCAGGATATACCTCTTGAAGCCAGTCACTGTTGAAATTACTACAATCTCCACAAAATCCCTTCTGATATTAATATTTATTTGTGATACGATAAATATTATTTAAAAATTCGTTTCATCCTACTTTGATATATAAAAAGTTTGATGTTGTGTTATTTATTTCTTTTAATAAAAATAATTTATGATCCTATGTATCATATAACACAATGATTCATTAGAATATTCCTATTTTCCAAATACTTTTCATTTGAAATTGCACATTCTAATAATAAATTGTATTATTTATTGAATCATTATCACTGTACTACTGTAGTGAACAAGAACACCAGTGGAGACAATCGAATGTATTGGACACAATATTACAGAACTTGTTAATAAAATCTAACAATCATATAGTAAATATGTAATTTGCAAAATGTCCACCAAATGTCTCAAAATGACTCAGACTTCATTGTTCTTGCATTTTCATACAAATTGCATTCTGTTTCCATTCTTTACTGTTTGATCCTCTTGTCTCTCTGTTGCCAAACTTTCTGTTCACGACTAATATCATATACTACTTATGTCAATATAAGTAGCACACACCACACTACTAGCGTTAATTGTAAATTTCACTGGAAATACTTGTTTTGAACCAGTTTTTGGTTAAACAATTCATTTTTCACATTAAAATAGATATTAGATACAAAAGAAATCAAGAAAAGAGTAAAACAAAAACATAACAAAAAAAGAAACAAACATAAAGTACAAAATAGCCAGAATGTTTGACGCCAGAAAAGATATAAATATATCAATTCATTAATTATTTCAAATATTGAAAATTCCCATTATTCTTATTTCAATCTCAATATATTAGTTGAAGAGGGTCATAATGATGTATTTACATTATTCTTTTAATGTTGAATAAAGTGAATTCATATATATATAAAGGGAAAAAAACGAACATCCTTATTATTGTAGTTATCATTTGTTTATGTTATTGCCCATTATTCAGTTCATCCTCTTTTTGTTGTTGTTAAAACATGAACAAAATAAAAGCGACCTATTTGTAGGTTAATTATGAAATGAATAGAGTGAGTTTTAGGCTTTAAATATAGTCGATTATAATGACACTATATGATGCTTTTGTTTTCAAAACATTGACATAAACAATAAGATAATTAATGTAGTTTCTTTAAACTTAATTAATATTAGTTTCATAGAAAAATGTAGACTAAATTTAAACTATCATTCGACACTACATCAGGAAAAAATTTGCATTCTAATGAGATAAAATGTCTGTATCCCTTTTTTTTAAAGAATCTATGCTTGTGTAAAGATTTTCATGACACTGAAAAATCCCAACCTTCATGAATCATAGAAATTGATAAAATAATTTGAATTTCTAAGTATTTGTAGGACTGTCGAGAACTACTAAATTTTGATATCATAATTTGACATAATATAAACAAATAGTCTGAAAAATATATAACTTTAGAATACAAAGTAATAAATGTTGAACTGTAATATGGAAGGTTATACGTAGAATTTTAATCTCTGAGCTGTCTGGTTTGATCATGTAGTTTTCGTTGTTCTTCTATACAACATCATCTGCAGTACAAACTTCAGGTAGGAGTGTTGACGATGTTGTTCAAAAGTACAATGAAACCTCCGTGACCAAAGCATTCAGCTTAGAGAATAAAATTCCACCTAAATCATCCAATTGAGCTACGAATGTTTTCCAACATCTCATTGAAGAATATAATATCTCTGAAAGCAATGTTTGTTAAACTATGTAAACAAAATATATCATGTTAGCAAACTTTAAAGAACAAAATTGTAAACAACTGTAAAACGTTTCTGGTTATCGGGTATAATTAGTGACCACACAGTAGTCAAGTATGGAAAGTCATTTGTAACCGTTTAGTGGGCCATTAACATACTCAATAGTGCAAACCAGTAAAAATCATTGAAAACATAATAGATATATGATTTTAAAATGAAGTAATTATCCTGAAAATAATTGTATTTTAGGGATTACTAAGAATTAATGTTATGTAAATGTACCTTAAACGTAAAGATAACAGCACATAATTATGAACGTACTATATTGCATAAATAGTAATCAAGACAGTTTATTTTCATTCATTCAAAAACGTTAATAAGTTTGCTAACTCTTTCCAATGTGATGTTTTCTCCAATTACAATAAAAAGAGACAAGTAAAGTTATAGCTTATATTCTATTATGAATTGTCTAACGTACGTTACATCCCAAAGCTTGTATAACATTCATACTACAAAACTATTTGATAGAGAAATATTGTTCTTATTTGTAAATGTAGGTTCCGTATGGAATACTTTACCACTGGTTTGGTAGGTCAATGTTTAAAAAATCAAATAAACAATGATTTTTTCTTTAATTTTACAGGGCTAAGAACATAGCTAATCCGTTGTAAACCAGATTAATAAGAAATATTTCTGCGCTCTATTAATATTCTTGATTTTTTAAAATTTCGCGAAAAATGAAAATGTATTTCATTTCATTTGGTTTAATTGTTATGGTATTTGTTTATTACAGCAAAACAAAAACACAACGTGTAACTATGCCAAATGTTATTTATTTTTCCCAGTCTGAATGTTACGCAAAAAAAGTGTTATTTAGGACTTGTAATTTTGAATTATTCACAATTTTAATAGTTGAGATTATGAATCAATTGAAACTAGACCATCATGGGAAACCTAGAAGCGCTGGATGGCCGTTTCGTCCTAGTGTAGGACTCAGTAGTGCGCATCCACGATCCCGCCTTCCGTGAGATTCGAACCCAGGACCTATCAATCCACAAAACCTCTCCTGATATTATTCACAATATAACCAATAATTGCAGTTATGCATATGATATAAGGAAAATAAATGTTTGACAGTTAATTTAATAATTAAAACATATTTGTCTTAAAATAGTTTACCTTGACTTTTTGTAGTTTTATAGATTGTGACTAAAATGTTGAAGTTGCATCATCCCTCAAGCTTGTAACAATTAATCATTTAAGGAATCATAAATATTTACCAAATAACCTCTATGGCTTCTAAAAGTATAGACTTAAATAAATAGTAATAGATGATAGTTT